AAAAAAAAAGGCCAGCGTGGTGGCTCACACCTATGATCCCAGCACTTTGGGAGCCCGAGGCAGGCAGATCACGAGGTCACAACATCGAGACCGGCCTGACCAACATGGTGAAATCCCGTCTTTACTACAAATACAAAAATTAGCTGGGTGTGGTGGTGCACGCCTATAATCCCAACAACTCGGGAGGCTGAGGCAGGAGAATTGGTTGAACCCAGGAAGTGGAGTTTGCAGTGAGCTGAGATCATGCCACTGCACTCCAGCCTGGTGCTGGAGCAAGACTCCGTCTCAAAAAGAAAATAAAAGAAAATAATGTCGTGTCACATGGACGTAGGGAGGGGAACATCACACACTGGGGCCTGTTGGGGGATGGGGGCTATGGGAGGGATAGCATTAGGAGAAATATCTAATGTAGATGACGGGTTGATGGTTGTAGCAAACCACCATGGCATATGCATACCTATGTAACAAACCTGCACATTCTGCACATGTATCCCAGAACTTTAAGTATAATTAAAAAAAAAAAATTTTAAAGAAAGAAAATAATGCCTTGAACAACTGTCTAATGAATTTTGATTTGTTCAACAGCAGTAACAAATTAAGCTTATTTAAGAAAGATCAGTGTCACAAAAACTTGCAAGTTAGGTGTAAGAAGGAACATCTTCGAGCTTTACATTGCCTTACAGGTTATTTCAGAATATATGTGCTCACTGGCATAGTAATAACTTGTTTGGTGAAAAGTAAAAAGTTAATAAATACTCGGTTTGACAAAGTTGGACAGATTTCTTAACTGCAGAACATTCTAGAACCTTAAGTTTTCAAATACACATTTTCACTTCTCCAATAAGGAAAAGTGTATGCACTGTTTTTATATTTGTTTGATCATGGGACACAGGAACACAATTTGTGAAATGCTAGTCTAGGTTTTCATTGAAACTTTAAGATTACAAGGATCTTACGGGTATATATCCACCTATTGCCCATTAACTCAACTCTGAGGTATCAATGCCAGATGTTCCTATGACCCTAATGGCAACTATTTGGTTTCTCCCAACACAGCCCTGTCCATCTTTACAAAGATCTGATATTAGGTTATTCTGTGTGTTATCTTCTCCAATTATAAATCATAGTTCTAGTTCTACGTTTATATATATATATATATACTTTGAGACTGAGTCTCACTCTGTCGCCAGGCTGGAGTGCAATGGCATGATCTTGGCTCACTGCAACTTCCGCCTCCCAGGTTCAAGCAATTCTCTGCCTCAGCATCCCGAGTAGCTGAGATTACAGGTGACTGCCACCACACCTGGCTACTTTTTTTTTTTTTTTTTTTTGTATTTTTAGTAGAGACGGGTTTTCAGCATCTTGGCCAGGCTGGTCTTGAACTCCTGACCTCATGATCCACCCACCTCGGCCTCCCAAAGTGCTGGGATTACAGGCGTGAGCCACTGTGCCTGGCCCTATTAATATGTATATTTTTAAAGTCTTTGGTATATATTATTGAATTCATTTAATTCAGACTTCAGTTAAATAATTCTTATCAAAATGGTTGTCAGTAATAAGCTTTGGCCAAATAAATGAGTAGTAGCTGTGAACCCTGAAAATTTGAGACAAGTCTCAGTTAGTTTAGAAAGTGTATTCTGCCAAGGTTGAGGACACACCTTGACAGCCTCAGGAAGTCCTGAAGACATGTGCAAAGGTAGTTAGGGCACAGCTTAGTATTATACACTTAGAGAGACTTGAGACATCAATCAATATATGTAAGAAGTACATTTGTTCGGTCTGTAAAGGCGGGACTTCTTGAAGCAAAGGCAGTAAGACTCCAAATGAAGCTGGGAGGCAGCTTCCAGGTCACAGATAGATGAGACACAAATGGTTACATTCTTTTGAGTTTCTGATTAGCCTTTCCAAAGGAGGCAGTCAGATATGCATCTATCTCAGTGAGCAGACAGATGACTTTGAATAGAAATGGGAGGTAGGTTTGCCCTAAGCGGTTCCAGGCTTGAGTTTTCCTTAGTGATTTTGGGGACAAGATATTTTCCTTTCACATAGCCTATTGGTCCGAACATATAGAGTGAACAGAAGTTCTCGGACTCTCTGCCGTAAAAATGAAGTGGGAACTTCTCTTTTGCATTTGTATCATTACATATGTAGACACAGCCAGCAAGTTTCTTTCTAATGACTGCTGAAAAATTGAGCACCTCCCATTCCCAGATTTAAGGGGTCATGAGGGATACTCTGATTTAGCAATAATTTTATCCCTAAAATAGACTGTCACATGGCATCCAACTGTCGTTGGGCAAAATAGGTCATGGAGCAACGACTCCTTTAGCTGTTTTTGAGGTGGACTGTGGGATGCGGGTGTCACTCGCTGCAGGGCTCTGCCTTTGTATTCACATTTCTGGCCCCACAGGAGTTTCATAGATAACCTGATTTCACCTCTTTTTTCTCAGAGAGGTAGAATAATTACCCACTCTGTGCACCTGAAGTTTCATTTCTGTTTAAGAATATGTCTTTGACACACAGAACATAGACAAACTGGGATGGAATTAGGCAATATCAGAAAGAGAATAATATGTAGCCACAGAAAAATAAACATTAACTTCATAAACTATGGCACTTTGTGATAACATTTTCAATTATCAGTGCATAATTTTC